GAGTGATGACATCAAAGATAAAGCTCGAGAACAGCCTTTTTGAAAATCGTTGCAACTATTCAAAAATTTAACTGGTTGTAACAGCAGAAGATGTACTAATGCTGGAGTCAAATGGAGATGGTTTGTCCGAATAAGGGTTTGTTCCAAGTTATGAATATTTTCGAATAATGTTTCACTGTAGTCTCGTCCAGATAACGTTTCGGTTATCTTCAGTAGAAGATACTCAAAAGCATCGTGCAATATCACAGTCTTTATAGGATTCAAGTTGCATGCTATGAGAAATTCCCAAACCAGCAAATGCTTTGAAAGAGCCGCGTGATCTTTAGCTTCAATATGTTTGTTCAATTCAGCCATCAAATGCTTCGAAATTAATGCGAATTCGTCGTTTGGTATTTGTATGGAAATAAGCACTACTAAACGTCCATATTCTTCCAGATCATTGCAAACATGTGCAATATCTTTGCATGCATCCCATATTTCCAAAACAATTCCTTTGGGTACATTTGAATTGTTTTGCAGAAATGTGGTAAGCAAAATTAAGTGGTCTTGTTTTTCATTCATCATTTGATCTTTGATTGTTTTCAAAGCATACTCTAAATATTGTTGCAAATGATTTTTCAAAATATCGATGTCATTCTCGGAAGACGAAGCAACGTATTTTAATACGTGAGCATATCCTACAAATAGCGGTTCTGTTATGCGCTTCTTCTGTTGTACTAGTTTTAAAATTGCACTACAAATTGCTTGTTTATACTCCTTTACCAGAATTTTTGATTCTTCCGTCATTTTCGTTTTCTTCGACTTGTTTAAAAACTGCAAAATAATGGTCGCACAACTCATATATTTTAAATCCGTCAGACTTTCGCACAACTTCGTAACAAAATCTTTCAAATATCTGATTCTTGTTTCGTTTTTAAATACGTTTTCAACCGTCAACGTAAATGTTTCCTTCCAACTATCAAACGTATTCAAAATTTGAAACAGAAATACGTCTAACCGAAGAGTGTCCGTTAGAGAAAACTTACAATGCTGCAGTGCTCCTATTACAATATTTTCAACATTAGCTTTTAATTTCAACGATATATGTTCCTCTAAATCATAGTGCAAGGCTATAAAATAAATGAAACATATTTGCTGAAGTTGTGGGCTACAATAGATTATTGGAAATCGCTTCAATACGTCCAAAACGTTCGAAAATTTGTGTTCACTGATTTTAATAGCATTTTCTTGTTTGACGGTTTTTCCGAAATTTTCGATATATATATCTTTCAAGGTACTTAAAATTTCTTTAGTGCGATCCCCAAATTTTCCTTGCTGCCTTGTTAAAAATAGGTCCTCATCAAACACGGCAGCCATTTTTGAGCTCATGAAATCAAAAGTATCATTTTCTACTTTATTCTTACATTTCGATAAGATATGCTCAAGTTTCAATATGCACACGTAACTAGTAGCACTTAGAACTAACTGTGAACCTGAAATATTCTCTAGATCCTGGACAGTACTTTCTTTAAAATCATCAATTATTTTCCGGCTTAAACCTATGATACTTTGATTATCAATTTTTGGGAGTAAATTGTTAATGATAAATTTATTGGATAGTATAAATTTCCAATGATCTTGCACATGAGTTACATTTCTCAATATATCTACAATCTCGTCATGAGTTACACTTTCCTCAAATATACGCATTGCCTGCAGTTTTTGTACGAACAATTTTTGCAACAAGGTTTTACATGGTGTTTCGCCGAAATTTTTTACCCTCTCCGATATCAAACACCAGTTCTGAACATCTAGATAAGGATGTAAATAAGTGACATTACAAGCCATAGCATCGGTTAGTTCAGGTTTTGCTGGTTTGCAATACTCAAAGGAAGAATAATAAGCTAGCATGAGTCGTATTTCACCCCAATGAAATGCTATACTAAGAAAAGATTGCATCAGTTGTGGATCATGTTCCTTATTTAACAGGTGTTTGGCAAAGTCTCCCAGCAGTAACTGTAACTCTTCCAAAGATTTTACAGTTTTTTCGATTGTATTAGGAGCAACTGTATGTTCCGATACCCTTATACTGCTCAGAAATGTGCACAACAGTTGTGTCAATACTTCTAGATATACAGAAAACTTAGAATCCCCATCATGAAATGTACCTATTATGTCCACAACGTTTTTCATTGCATGATAAAGTGTTTTTAATATATTTACGATCTGCCATCCTGCCAAAGCTTCGACACATCTGCTGAATTTCTTCAAAATTGCATCAGAAATAATATTAGCTACAATCAACATTATGTTTATATTATCACTGACACCTGACCTACATCTACTTCTATGCTTTTTCTTCAAATTCTGTCCTTCAATACACGATCTAACAGTCTCTTCAGTACACCATCTATGAAATTGTGTAACTATTTTACTAATCAGGCCTTCAAAGCGATGCAGTTTTGAGTATACATCAAAAATACTAAATATAAGATTTTCATATTCAATCTGTTCATTTTTTGTTGACTTTCCCTCAAAGTTTTTAAGTATCATGGCATTTGTGATAATGTCTTCAATAAGGCTATTAACTATTAGGGGTTCAATATCAATACATTTTTTTATAATTTTGTAACTAGCTGATGATATATCTTTTCTGTTCAAAATATCTTTCACCATATTTTGTAGGAAGGATTCTAGATTTATTTCCTTAACAACAAAATTGGGATCCAAATTTAAGTGGCTTATGATATCCAATAATTCAAAAAGTATAATTTCTGAATGAATTGGTGGCAAAATACATTGGTCAAGTTGGAGTTCAGAAATCTCTATCTTAAAACCTAAAATGTGGGTCAAAATATAGAAAAGCCTCAATATCAAATCATAGTGACTATTATAAGCCTCACTCAAAGCATGAAAAATGAGTTTATAAGCAATCTTTACAGTTTCGACTTGGTCGATTTCTTTGCAGCACGACATCAGGTATTTTAATAATTTGCTTGGAGCAGTTTGTCTCTTAATTTTGGATTTTAAGAAAACCTGTTCCACTAATGTCTGAAACGATTGGAAATTATTGAGAAAAATACACCTCTGAACAGTTTTTGATGCAAGAACAAAAATTTCTTCATCCTCAAATACTTGCAAACTTTTGATCAAACTATCGAAAGTATTCTCTAAAAACACTTCCACGAACCTATCTTCCGTAGCTACAAATTTAACAGGGACTTTCTTCAAAAATTGTTTCAAATTCGTCAAGCTTTGTATGTTTGACACCACACATTTCAAAATATTGCAGTAAGTTTCACAGTTCAATTTGAAGTATTGTTGAAAAGAAGCATTGTTTAATATTTCCAAAGTGGTATTGACCATTAATGTTTCTGCAGAACTATCTGAAGGAGCTGTATCTTCACGTGTTATAGTCTCAAGAATACTGCTTAGTTCATCGATTTCGTTCCTTGTCAAGTTCTTAAAATTCTTTGTAGATACCCAGTTGCTAAAGGTTTTCCAAACATCCTTACTATCTGTTGCCAGAGCCACATCTTCATGTTCCACAGATAAATCGCAAGTTTTAAAAGCAGCGTCAGCGATTTTTCTTCTTTTCTGCAACGGCTCATCATCTGCTAATGAATTTCTCTTTAAATTCATGATTGCAAAGTTGTTTCAAAGGATATAACAATGTGTGCTTGATCTCAGTGCTCACTGCCACCTACAAAACATATAAATAATATTCATACAATAATTGCAATATATGTTAAAACTACCTCATAATTATTTTAATATGTAATTCAATTTTTGAAGAAACCAAAATAATACATGATTAGAAACGAAAAGCACGTGGATAATAACTTGATAATAACGAAGGTTATACCTTACTGCAGCACGATTGAATCAATCAACAAAAAAATAGCTAGTCACGTGAACACCATTACCACGCCCCTACTCCTACACTATATAACCCTATTTCACTAGTATCCTCACGGTAGAATGACAGCTGGTTATCTAGTTCAACATTCCCCATATCGTCAAAGGACATAATATTCAAATTCAAGCGGATAACCAAATGGAAATGGAATTTACCATTTTGGGTTGGTATTTACCAATCTGTTCAAGCGTTTGTAGTTATCAGTTTGGTTATAAGTCCGTGACGTCACGAATCAGCTGTTATATGTCATAGTTATCACCGCAAAATTGTGGTATTTAAGTATTTACCCAACTCAGGAGTAGTTTTATATTTCTGGTTATTATTTGACATGTGACAAGTTAGAATTTTGCCGGGTATTGGATATTGTTAATGTACTTCAGCTTCATTTTTGAGAAAAATGATACAGGCTGACTTCAGTTTTACCATAAAGTGGAGCACCTTATTAGTTATATTCATTACGGTTGTTGGGGACACTTTAAATGTAGTTCCTATGCTTAACAAAGTATCCTGTGTAGCCATTTACCACAAGAATATTAAAATATGGAGATATAAACTCACTAGATGATATCCACCTGTATACGGTTTTGCTAATTTCTTTTTTCATCATTTCTGCTGAATCAATAAATGTTTTCTTTGACATGCGGAAAAATTTAGAGAATTGAAAGTTATCATAGCTACAAAGCCATGCTTCCATCATTAAAAAAAAATATCTGAAAAAAACACTTCTCCCAAGAATATTATGAAAGGTTTCTTATTTAAACTTTCCATATATAGTTGTAGACGAAAAAGCACCGATTATTAAGTGATAATAAAAATAATCAGAGATTATATACGCGCTTTTCTAAAATAAACAACTTGCAACAAAACCGCGGTTAAAACCAACGCGTTCAAGCGATTCGTGTAACTGATGTCATCAACCCGTGTGTCATCTTGAACCATATTATAGCCGCGGCAGATAACACTGAAATTTTGGTTATTCGCTTGGATTTGATTAATTTTTACGAATCCGTCAATGCCAGGTAGAAAGAGTCATATTTTGTTTTGGTTTCTTATGCGCTACAGATTAATTTTTTGCTAACAGCTCTTTTATTAGAAAAGTTCATTTGCATACAAACAACAAAACGCTACAAACAAATTTTCGCTAGATTTACACGCGATTCATTATAGCCAACATTGCAGACTAACACAAAAATGTCACTTGAGAACAGCTCTTCACCTCAGTAGACGTCAAAGCGTTATGCATACTCGTGAAATAAGGTATACATGATTAGAAGATAATGAACAGCAGGTGGATAATAACGAAGGTTGAGCCTTACTACAACAAGATTTAACCATTCAACAAAAAAATAGTTAGTCACGTGAGGACCATTGCCACGCCCCTCTTCCCACTTAACAGCACACTAGATCAGTTAACCTCAATTAAGAATATTTCAAACAATATTCGAAAAAGTGATAACGTCCTATCTCCTATCAGTTCTGTATCAGTTTTTATAATTAAATCTTAGTGATCACATCAAGCATTTGTTCATACTCAAGAATCGAATATTTGTGGAAGAATTTTTGTGATATCCACGTATAATGTCATTCAGTCATGCACTCTTTAAAGCATTTGTAGCAAGAAACGCCAGTTACGTGATCAAAAAAGCATTTAGCAAGAAATATTTGTTGTTCACAAATATAGGGATTTCCTGTAGCCTATCTGGACTAGGAGACGTCATAGAGCAGCAGGTCGAATACTACCAAGGCGTTATAAAACGATGGGACCCAATAAGGACTCGAAATATGGCCATTGCAGGAATATCCGTGGGGACTGTGTGTCATTTCTGGTACATGAACTTAGATAAACTTATACCAGGACAGACTCTCAGGATTGTTTTCACTAAAGTCATGTTGGACATGTTGATAGGCTCCCCATTGTACCTAAGTGCATTTTTCGTTACCCTTAATGTTGCCGAAGGATCAACTAAAGAACAAATTGTGGAAGAATTCAAGGATAAGTCGTGGAAACTGTACCTAGCAGAGTGGATAATTTGGCCCCCAGCCCAGTTTGTGAACTTTTATTTCTTATCTACAAAGTATAGAGTATTGTTTGACAATGGGGTTTCACTACTTTACGATGTTTTTGCATCTAAAATTATGTTCAATCACCGTGATACAGACACAGACGATTTAAAGAAGCAATCATGATGATTGTATAGACAAAATTTTAGTATTATGATATAATCATTGTACATAATATAAACATCTGTGATACTTTGTTAAATGTACTTTACAATGTTTAACATTGTTAATTATATGTACAAAATATATTTATAATTGTGTTTACTTTATATTCCTATACATATCCCTTAAATTGTGTCAGGTATAAACCATCAAATGATTACATAATAGGCAAAATTGTACTGAATACATTTGAGGTTTCTCACCAAGATCTAGCATAAAATTTTTGAAGATCAACTTATTTGTTATGTATCCAACCTCAAGCTTTTGAAAATCAATTGGAAAAAAATATTAAATTCCCCTACTGGGGTATTCATGATAAAGTTATGTTCTGATTAATCACGAGATGAAACGTTTCATAAAAATCATTTTTGAAACTTGAAAAGTGGCGCGGAATTTGATATACTCCACATAACACCAAAATAGTTGTTTATTGTTGTATGCTCACACCTAAAGCCGAGTCTGCACCTAAGACAAAAAGATAGAGTTGGGATAATATTCGATATTTCTAAATTATCGACTATTAACCTAGAAGATGGTGTAACACATGAAAGTAGAATACATAAAATCTGGATTCTTAATTGGCGTTCTTAATCTGTGTTTTGGTGGTTAGGTAGTCGCCCTGTTCACAAAAATTTCAAAACACAAATAAAAATTTTTGTTGCAATACCAAAAACCATGAAATTTTTCGTACGCAGTTCCACGAAACGATGTCCTCGATTGGGCGTTCTAAGGTGTACAGAAGGCAAGTCCGAAGTTGAAATAGAAACACCGGTAGTTCTGCTACATACACAAGGGGGCCACATACCTCACATCACACACGAGGTGTTCAAACTGGTCAGCAAGGAGCCCCAAATTCTACAGATTCCCTTGGTCAGCATGCACAGTTTCAAAGATACAATGACTTACTATAATGGCACCATATCCGAGTTCATTGGCAGCAAAAACAGTCTTACGTGTCTTACACTCCATGACCCAAGTAATTTAACAAAGCAAGGGCATCACACGCGAGATAAAATTCCTATTTGGACTAAGCGAGGCAAAGTTTTGTATGATGCTGATATGTACATGGATGTAGTTGAATCATTTAAACCCAACATGTATTACCTGCTGTCTGATGGCGATACAAATAAAACTAGTCCACAAAAGCGTATTGCCAAAGCTGTAGAGCAGACTGTTGTCTTTAATAAGCAGTGTTTGGAGAGACACAGAAAGTCAGAAGTTCTGAAGAAAATGTTTGTTATGGCCCCTATTGCAGGAGGGTACTGTTTGAAATCTAGAGAGCATTGTATTGAGTGAGTATCAGTTATGCATGAAAGAGAACCAAAAGTAACTGGAATTGTAGAATTCCCCAAAAAATTGTCGGAAAATTAAACAAGCTCTAATATGGCAGCTTATTCGTGAATTTATTGTTGTGAAGAAATTTACAAGGTCAAAACAGTGTTATATAAACCCTATTTCACGAGTATCCATCACGGTAGAATGACAGCTGATCTAGTAGTATCTCAAATTTCCCCATATCGGCACAGGACACAATTCTGACGGATCCGTCAACGTCAGGTTGATGAATCCGTCAGAATTGTGTCGTATTTTGTTTTGTTTTTTGTACGATGCAGATTCATTTTGTACTTACTAACAGCTCTTTTACACCCGATTCATTATTGCCAACGTCTCAGACTTACACAAAAATGTCACTTGCTGATCAGCTGTTCATCTCAGTAGACGTCAAAGCGGGATGGATACTCGTGAAATAGGGTATACATCAACATCTTTCTGTTGAAGGACTTAGTTACCTTTTGAAACTCTTCGGTAAAGGATTGCACCTTTATTTGATTTTCTTTCATTCATTTCAGGGCATTGTTCATAGATGCAAACGAAATCGACGGTTTCCTGATCGACGGCCTTCACAACAACGGTCCCGAGGTAGAATTCCTCCCTTTCGAAGAAATCAAAAGCATCCTAGAATTCAGTGTCGACAAACTTCCACCAGAGAAACTCTGCTCGGTCCAAGGTTGCTGGAGCCCGTTGAACGTCATCAAGTTAGTCCAATGTGGCATTGACATGTTTGACACTTCGTACTGTCACATTTTGACGGAAAGATCCGCTGCAATGACGTTTCAGATTGACACAAGTGACGAAAACAACGATTATGAGATAAATTTACGTCATCACTCGTTAGCTGAGGATTTTACCCCTATCATAGATGGCTGTGAATGTTTGGCCTGCAAAAAATATACTAGAGCTTATATCCACCACCTGCTGACCGTGCAAGAATTGTTGGCTCCGGTTTTGATTATGATTCACAATATTCATCACTATTTGAGGTTTTTTAGGAAAATTAGACAGTGTATTGCAAATGATACTTTGGATGAATTTGAGAATTTTATTGCCGGGCGGTATGAAAATTATCAGAGAAAAACTACCAGTTCTGTGGAGGACAAAATTATATCTGAAAATATAGGAGACAATATATAAAATGTTTGCGAATAAAGTGTTTTATTTATAATGATTTATAGCAAAAATCCACCCAAACAATTTCTGAAAATAACTTAACCTTAAAGTGTCGTTAAATAATTATAAAATAGAAAATGTGCAGTGTTGTTCTCAATAGATTTTGAATCGTGCAAAGATGTAAATAGAAATTGTGCATATTTCTTTAAAAATGTGCATATATGTATGTATACTGATTTTCTGGCGCAACGGCCAATTTAAAAAAACTGAAATCTCATGGAACCTTTTTATTGTTTAATGAGAAGTTAAGAAAATAATACAAGAATAAAATAATATTTATTTATTAAATTTAACTAAGGGCATCAATGATCAACAATCATCGGGACTCGGATGCGTAACAAATAGTTACTGGATTCGTATTTTGTATGTGTCTAACAGTACATTTCACTCAGTTCGTGCAGCTGTTAAGAAAATGTATTGCCAGTTTTGTATAAAAAAAATGCATTTTATTTATTGTCGATTGTGCATATTTTGTGTGGGGGTGCATATTGTGCATATGTTCGTAAAATTGTGCATGATATGCACAATTGTGCATGTCGGAACATCCCTGAAAATTTGTCTCCCGACAAAACCTAACAGTAGATCAATGTTTCCATATTCCCATCTCTATTACGAATGTTGCGCCATCTATCATGGGACAGTAACAGTACTCCAAAATATCTCTTAAAATTGCCCACATATAAAAATCATGATTTTTGAAATAGCAATATAATAGATTCTGATGTGATCCAGCTTATAAAAAACAAGCTATTCAGATTACCCAATCCATGCTCTGTGGATACGGGGAAACTGTGATATTCTGTCCAAGATTTGTTCCTTGGTGCTGTAATATACCGATCGTGTCACATGAAACAATCGAAGCTAGATGATTGGTCGCAAATCTGCTGCGCTATAAGAAATCTTGTCAATCTTTCATCTTTGTGCAACTTTTACGAGTAGAACGTTCAAGCGGTTTATATAGAATGAATTTTTCTTTTCCGCATATTATTGTGTAAATCCTTAAACATCTCGGACATCCTTCCGTCATGGCAGGTAAGAATATTTATTTATCATAATAAACGAATAATAAAAGCAACAGGTACACATATTAAAGCTTTTAGTTGGATCATAGAAGTAATATAAACATTGAACCTTCAGAATTGGCTGACTTAAATTTTTATTAGCTAATGAGGCGTTACACCTATAGATTGCACGTAATAAGTAATTCATTGAATGTGTTCGGGACTCTCTGGCATGTACTATAAAAGAAACATAAGTTTTATCGAGTGGTATTCGTAGTAGGCAGAGAAAATATCAATGCCTGAAATCGCATATAAATAAAATTCAGTATTCTGCGGGTCCGGGGAATTTTTGATATTCCGTCAAGATTTGTTTCAGGATGCGGTGGTAATGTACTAATCGTGTCACATTATTTAATCGAAGCAATCTTCGTAAATCTTGCCACAGTTTACTTATTTTCTCTTTATTATTGATTAAAGAAACTTTCACAATGTAAAAAACTATCACGTTTATGAATATCTACTTGTCAAAACAAAACTCGAACGTCATTATTTTAAAAACAAAATAGGCCACCATCCTACTAGATCAAAATAAGTTCATTATACCACAAATGCATGAACATTTTTTTACGCGAAAACGGTGCATCGGACGGAATAAAGTCAAGAGGTCAAATTTGTTGCAAAATAAATGATTCCAAATTTTTTTGAGAAATCTCCAGTACACATCACGTATGGACGCCATATTATATATAACTTGAGATATATATTATAATTTCTGGTGTCACAAGTGAAAGAAACAAAAAATTCTAAAGTGCCGTGAAGCCGGGTTTCAGGTGGAAAATCGATCGTTCTGGAGAACACGTGGCCGCTATCGTCAGATTGACATCAGATTCAGAATCTACGCTACCGATTTACCTAAGAGACGAGTATTCGTTCATATCACAAATACGAAGACATTTTTGGATTTTTTTTCATAGGAAATCTGAAAAAACATAGGAATTTATAGGGCAAAATTTCCATTTTCGTTTCCTGGTGTCACAAGTGAAAGAAACTTTCCACATCAAGGTAATTTGTGACGCTGAATGCGAATATAGTCATCAAAAAATTCTAAAGTGCCGTGAAGCCGGGTTTCAGGTGGAAAATCGATCGTTCTGGAGAACACGTGGCCGCTATCGTCAAATTGGCATCAGATTCAGAATCTACGCTACCGATTTACCTAAGAGCCGAGTATTCGTACGTATCACAAATACGAAGGTATTTTTAGATTTTTTTTTCATAGGAAATCTGAAAAAACATAGGAATTTATAGGGCAAAATTTCCATTTTCGTTTCCTGGTGTCACAAGTGAAAGAAACTTTCCACACCAAGGTAATTTGTGATGCTGAATGCGAATATGGTCATCAAAAAATTCTAAAGTGCCGTGAAGCCGGGTTTCAGGTGGAAAATCGATCGTTCTGCAGAACACGTGGCCGCTATCGTCAGATTGACATCAGATTCAGAATCTACGCTACCGATTTACCTAAGAGACGAGTATTCGTTCATATCACAAATACGAAGACATTTTTGGATTTTTTTTCATAGGAAATCTGAAAAAACATAGGAATTTATAGGGCAAAATTTCCATTTTCGTTTGCTGGTGTCACAAGTGAAAGACACTTTCCACACCAAGGTAATTTGTGACGCTGAATGCGAATATGGTCATCAAAAAATTCTAAAGTGCCGTGAAGCCGAGTTTCAGGTGGAAAATCGATCGTTCTGGAGAACACGTGGCCGCTATCGTCAGATTGACATCAGATTCAGAATCTACGCTACCGATTTACCTAAGAGACGAGTATTCGTTCATATCACAAATACGAAGACATTTTTGGATTTTTTTTCATAGGAAATCTGAAAAAACATAGGAATTTATAGGGCAAAATTTCCATTTTCGTTTCCTGGTGTCACAAGTGAAAGAAACTTTCCACACCAAGGTAATTTGTGATGCTGAATGCGAATATGGTCATCAAAAAATTCTAAAGTGCCGTGAAGCCGGGTTTCAGGTGGAAAATCGATCGTTCTGGAGAACACGTGGCCGCTATCGTCAAATTGGCATCAGATTCAGAATCTACGCTACCGATTTACCTAAGAGCCGAGTATTCGTACGTATCACAAATACGAAGGTATTTTTAGATTTTTTTTTCATAGGAAACCTGAAAAAACATAGGAATTTATAGGGCAAAATTTCCATTTTCGTTTCCTGGTGTCACAAGTGAAAGAAACTTTCCACATCAAGGTAATTTGTGACGCTGAATGCGAATATGGTCATCAAAAAATTCTAAAGTGCCGTGGAGCCGGGTTTCAGGTGGAAAATCGATCGTTCTGCAGAACACGTGGCCGCTATCGTCAAATTGGCATCAGATTCAGAATCTACGCTACCGATTTACCTAAGAGCCGAGTATTCGTACGTATCACAAATACGAAGGTATTTTTAGATTTTTTTTCATAGGAAATCTGAAAAAACATAGGAATTTATAGGGCAAAATTTCCATTTTCGTTTCCTGGTGTCACAAGTGAAAGAAACTTTCCACACCAAGGTAATTTGTGATGCTGAATGCGAATATGGTCATCAAAAAATTCTAAAGTGCCGTGAAGCCGGGTTTCAGGTGGAAAATCGATCGTTCTGCAGAACACGTGGCCGCTATCGTCAGATTGACATCAGATTCAGAATCTACGCTACCGATTTACCTAAGAGACGAGTATTCGTTCATATCACAAATACGAAGACATTTTTGGATTTTTTTTCATAGGAAATCTAAAAAAACATAGGAATTTATAGGGCAAAATTTCCATTTTCGTTTCCTGGTGTCACAAGTGAAAGACACTTTCCACACCAAGGTAATTTGTGACGCTGAATGCGAATATGGTCATCAAAAAATTCTAAAGTGCCGTGAAGCCGAGTTTCAGGTGGAAAATCGATCGTTCTGGAGAACACGTGGCCGCTATCGTCAGATTGACATCAGATTCAGAATCTACGCTACCGATTTACCTAAGAGACGAGTATTCGTTCATATCACAAATACGAAGACATTTTTGGATTTTTTTTCATAGGAAATCTAAAAAAACATAGGAATTTATAGGGCAAAATTTCCATTTTCGTTTCCTGGTGTCACAAGTGAAAGAAACTTTCCACACCAAGGTAATTTGTGATGCTGAATGCGAATATGGTCATCAAAAAATTCTAAAGTGCCGTGAAGCCGGGTTTCAGGTGGAAAATCGATCGTTCTGGAGAACACGTGGCCGCTATCGTCAAATTGGCATCAGATTCAGAATCTACGCTACCGATTTATCTAAGAGCCGAGTATTCGTACGTATCACAAATACGAAGGTATTTTTAGATTTTTTTTCATAGGAAATTTGAAAAAACATAGGAATTTATAGGGCAAAATTTCCATTTTCGTTTCCTGGTGTCACAAGTGAAAGAAACTTTCCACACCAAGGTAATTTGTGATGCTGAATGCGAATATGGTCATCAAAAAATTCTAAAGTGCCGTGAAGCCGGGTTTCAGGTGGAAAATCGATCGTTCTGGAGAACACGTGGCCGCTATCGTCAAATTGGCATCAGATTCAGAATCTACGCTACCGATTTACCTAAGAGCCGAGTATTCGTACGTATCACAAATACGAAGGTATTTTTAGATTTTTTTTCATAGGAAATCTGAAAAAACATAGGAATTTATAGGGCAAAATTTCCATTTTCGTTTCCTGGTGTCACAAGTGAAAGAAACTTTCCACACCAAGGTAATTTGTGATGCTGAATGCGAATATGGTCATCAAAAAATTCTAAAGTGCCGTGAAGCCGGGTTTCAGGTGGAAAATCGATCGTTCTGCAGAACACGTGGCCGCTATCGTCAGATTGACATCAGATTCAGAATCTACGCTACCGATTTACCTAAGAGACGAGTATTCGTTCATATCACAAATACGAAGACATTTTTGGATTTTTTTTCATAGGAAATCTAAAAAAACATAGGAATTTATAGGGCAAAATTTCCATTTTCGTTTCCTGGTGTCACAAGTGAAAGACACTTTCCACACCAAGGTAATTTGTGACGCTGAATGCGAATATGGTCATCAAAAAATTCTAAAGTGCCGTGAAGCCGAGTTTCAGGTGGAAAATCGATCGTTCTGGAGAACACGTGGCCGCTATCGTCAGATTGACATCAGATTCAGAATCTACGCTACCGATTTACCTAAGAGACGAGTATTCGTTCATATCACAAATACGAAGACATTTTTGGATTTTTTTTCATAGGAAATCTAAAAAAACATAGGAATTTATAGGGCAAAATTTCCATTTTCGTTTCCTGGTGTCACAAGTGAAAGAAACTTTCCACACCAAGGTAATTTGTGATGCTGAATGCGAATATGGTCATCAAAAAATTCTAAAGTGCCGTGAAGCCGGGTTTCAGGTGGAAAATCGATCGTTCTGGAGAACACGTGGCCGCTATCGTCAAATTGGCATCAGATTCAGAATCTACGCTACCGATTTATCTAAGAGCCGAGTATTCGTACGTATCACAAATACGAAGGTATTTTTAGATTTTTTTTCATAGGAAATTTGAAAAAACATAGGAATTTATAGGGCAAAATTTCCATTTTCGTTTCCTGGTGTCACAAGTGAAAGAAACTTTCCACACCAAGGTAATTTGTGATGCTGAATGCGAATATGGTCATCAAAAAATTCTAAAGTGCCGTGAAGCCGGGTTTCAGGTGGAAAATCGATCGTTCTGGAGAACACGTGGCCGCTATCGTCAAATTGGCATCAGATTCAGAATCTACGCTACCGATTTACCTAAGAGCCGAGTATTCGTACGTATCACAAATACGAAGGTATTTTTAGATTTTTTTTCATAGGAAATCTGAAAAAACATAGGAATTTATAGGGCAAAATTTCCATTTTCGTTTCCTGGTGTCACAAGTGAAAGAAACTTTCCACACCAAGGTAATTTGTGACGCTGAATGCGAATATGGTCTACCAAAAAATTCTAAAGTGCCG